GTTACGTTTTGTTTAGTTGTTTGTTGTTACATGTTTTGATGTACGGTTTGCTATCTGGAGCAATGTCTGTTAAAATTTTTTAAAAAAAAATAAATAAATAAAAAAAAGAATAACTTCACACAGTATACCTGCTGTAAAAGCCAAAATGATGGCCACCCAGGCAATGAAGTAGGACCAGGAAAAACGCCAGTCCAAGAAGCGTTTGCCAAAGAACGTGACGGTCACTCCGGTGTAGATTGCCAAAGCCAGCAGAGCGAGAAAACCTTTAAAAATGGGAGTTAAAGTTAAGAATGCACAATATTGCAAAAAGATCTCTGAAAGGTTTAATGCAGGGAAAATGGAAACCAGATAAACATGTTTTGGCACTGACTGTTGATTTCACTTATTATGTGTGTGTTACCTGACAGGACCAGGGCAATGCCCCCCGTGCGGACCCTCCGGTTCTTGGTGCCGTTAGTGAAGGCGCTCAGGCCTAGCACCACACCGGCGAAGCAGCTCAGCACCGCCAGCAGCATGAAGGCCCGGGTGGCATCCCAGAAGGCTGGACACAAACAAGACCAACCAGTCAGGACCACGCACACAACACACAAACACAAAGGCCTGGATTTGACAGAAATACAGATTTCCTCTGCAGTACTGTGCAGTTGGGAATGAAAGACCATTTTTCTGGATGTATTATGTAGAATTGTCATCTGCTTTAATATGCTCTTCTTTCCTTTTAAAACATTTGTTTAAATCATTTAATTGTGTAGATAATTGTGTTGTTCTGATTACAAATGATTAACATTCTGACCTAGACAGTTCCTCTGCTATTCAAATGTTATCATTATGCTGTTTGTGAAAGGCTGTCATACCATTCATTTGAATTGCAAAGTCCAATGAGCTTTTTAAAGATACAGTATGTGTAAATGTGTGGCAACAATTATTTTTCAGATCTGAGTTGAAGGAATATACATTGCAAAATGCAGCAAGTCCAGTTGTCTGTGGCTAAGAGCTGAGTTTTAAATGTAATTGAAATAACTTTATCCCTATTAACATTCTGACATTTTCTCAGAAACTCCTGATTGCTCAATTTCATACTTCTTGTCTTGTTTGAAGGCCTCTGAAGTACTCACCCACAGTTATGGTGTGGGCATGGCATTTGTGGTTGATGCAGAACCTCCAAAGTCCCTGATTAGCAGAACTACCCGAGTACCGATACTGCATCCAGAAATCAGTTGCCGTAGAAACAATGAGGAGCACAAGGGCAGCTAAACCGCAGAGCGTGCCCCCTCCCGCTAAAGTATACAGCATCGTGGAGAAGCCAGAGGAAGCGCTGTCCTCCTAAACATTCAGCAACTGTTCAGGGAGGACAGGGCAGAACATGTTCATTATATAAACACCACACTCAAAGATTTACTCATGGATGCCCTTCATGCCAAATATATTCATTATACATCATTATACAGTATATCTGGTCACGTTTCCGTGACAATTTTGGAAAACAACGTATTACATTTCCTGGATGTGCTACAGACCGAAATCATCTGTCATGGGATGTGTCCATGATAGCTCTACGGACCTGCTGCCTCTCTTTTCCTATCTGAATGAAGTGCATTTATGTGTATGTCGTTTCAGGCAGAGGTGGAAGAACAAAGTACTCAGATCTTGTACTTGAGTAAAAGTAGAAGTACCAGAGTGTAGGAATACTCTGTTACAAGTAAAAGTCCTGCATTCAAAGGGTCCCTCAAGTGAAAGTAGAAAAGTATTAGCGTCAAAATATACTTAAAGTAGCAAAAGTAAAAGTACTCATTACGCAAATTGGTCCATTTCAGAATAATGTGAATGTATTCAAGGTGTCCCTAAAGTATTTTTTAAGAGTTGTTTATATTATACATTGTTAATCCAAGTCTTTTAAGTAACTAAAGGTACAAGATACATTTACTGAAATAAAAGTACACAATTTAGCTCTGAATTATAGTGGAGTAGAAGTACAAAGTATAGCATAAAATGGAAATACTCAAGAACAAGTATCTCAAGTTGTACTTGAGTAATGTACTTGAGTAAATGTACTTAGTAACTCTGGTTTCAGAGCAGACAGAATAGATTGATTACACTCCAAAACTAAATGTACAGAAAGAAACCTATTATTTAAAACAGTTAAAAAACAATAGCGAGGCTGCTTTTGGGATTACCATAGGCATTTCCCATAAAATACAAAAGTCAAAGATTTGACGGTAACATTTCAATCATATATGCCTGCACGTTAGAAAAGAGAGTGAGTCATTATTCAGTGTCGCTTGCAAATTGTTCACAGCCAGCAAAGCACTTGACCCACGGCGCTGTGTAACAAAAAGCTTGACTATCAGGCAGTTCAGAGCCATTGTCCACCACTAATTCCCCCCAATGCACCACAAACTAATCTTCCAACACTGAGCAACTGAACTGTCAGCAGTGTGGCTCTGTCACACAGCCAGCAAACCAATACACTGATCCTCAACCCCGTAATCCTCAATGCTGCTCTTGGAAAAACCCAAATACCTAAATCAAATCCAAATAAAACGTACAAATCTCAATTTCAAATGTGTCAAACTATTTTGTTCTTGTAAGGAAACATGAACAGACAAGGCATAGTTATTTCGCTTTTCCCTAGACGTGCTGTTAGTCTCCAAATGTCCTTTCTCTCTTTGGTCTCTGTAGATCCGCTTGTTCTTCAAATCACTTTCTCAGTTGTTGATTTGCCTTTGAAACCCTGAAAGTAAGAAGTATCTTCCTGGATGTACAGAAGAAAAAAAAACAGATTCAAGTTTTGCTCTGATACCTCTGGGTTGGCCGGTGTCTCTCCAGGGTTGCTGGCTGTGACTGTGTGCCTATCCTTTTTAAGCCCTGTACCCCTGGCTTTCATTGTCCAGCTCACAAAAGGGGGAATGATCCAGAGCAGCATGTGAGGGACGCTAAATCCCTGCTAGCACTCTTCCCTGCAGTTACCTCTTGCACTTTCTCTATGTGTCGTGCATGACTTCTTCTCATTCCCCTCATCTTTAAATGTTTTCTGCAAAGGAATTGATACATTGGCTGGTCCCAATCCCCACAGTTTACAGAACAGGCATTCACAGTCCTTCTACGCATAACAACACATGCAATTACCAGGAGCAAAACATATGTTGGTGTGTGTGTGTGTGTGTGTGTGTGTGTGTGTGTGTGTGCGCGCGCGCGTGTGTTCGCACGCATAAGTGAGTAAAATGTCATTCAAATGTGTGCCCTCTATTTTGGCCAAAATTGATACAAACAACAGGAAGTCTCGTGACACTTTATGTCTTTATTCCATCAGGTAATTTAAAAATACCTTTATTTATCTAGCAAGAACAACATGTGATATAGCCACTGTTTGATGTTTTTGTACAGTTTGAACCCCATTGACCCCTTGGCATTTCATCATTTGTGCACACACATAGTTTCTAACTGCACAGGTTTTAAATGACACTGGATATGCCTTTGTGAGCCACAGATAATGAAAAATATAAAGCATGATAGCCTTTTCTCTCACATCGATCTGGTGTCTGCATAGGTGCTCAGTAAAAGTGAATATACAGTTGAAGATGTGTGTGTATTTGTCATTTCACATTGTGCAGTCCAGCAGCATTCATCTCTTCATATTTTACTTTAGCCTGCTAACTTTTTGTATTTTAAAAAATATTATTTTTGTTTTGGCAACAACTGCATATCACCTCAATTTTGATCAGTGGTTACAGTAGTACCACTTCTACTCTTATTTCTTCTCCTCAAATCACTTTTTAACACGGCATGAAGCTTTGTTCAAACAGGTTTCTAAAATGTCACAACCAACATTTACTTATTTCCATGTTGCAATTTATCTATTTAATTTACAAATGAGTAGCCACTGATGTTACAAACTTGAACATACTGTATAGCTCTTACTGTTTTCCCTTTTTAATAAGTGCGCAAAACTGCCAATGAGTGATCATTTTCTACATTACAGTGACATTACAATATTTTACAGATGACAAGCCTTATGACAAAATACGAAATAAATAAATAAATCTCTCAATCAATCCAATTCACACATCCAAAAATATCTACAAATGTCACAAAAAAGGCACATTATGATATGCATAACCAACCGTGGCTTTTCTTTCCACAACATGAAGAGTCCAGCTTACTGCCTCCTACAGAAACTAGAGACAGCGAAGGCTTCATGGTTCATCAAACGCTCCTTCCCTTCTGAAGTAACATTCATGTTTTGTACTAAGTACGGACTTATGCTGAATAAAATGTAGTTTAGTATTGTGAAAAATAAAACAAATCTAACTTGCAGGTGTGCTTGCAGTGAAATGACTCATGCCTTTCAATACAGGCAAATAAATGATCTTTATATTCTAACTTTATCCACACACACACACACACACAATTGAACACACACACACACACAAAGACCGACAGTTAACTCGGACACGCAGTAGTTAGTGATCCCTCGCTGGGATGTGAGTACTCTTGTGCTTCCTGCTGTGGCCCACCAGTGTTCCTCCAGTGAACGGCTCAGGGGCCGGGGGCCCAGAGCACGACAGTTCGATCTGCAGAGGAGGAGAGGAAGGTCCGGTCGTGGGGGTGCCACCTACACTGAATCACCTTGTCCCAGTGCTCGCCTGCCACCGTCTGAGGAAGGGGCTTGGTTAGGTCACCTGGGTACGAGAAAGAAGTGGCAAACAGTGGGTTCAAACACCAGAATGTTGTTTTCAATTGACGTGGTAGCAAAAGGATCAGATATATGGGTGTAAAAGTGTGTAACTCTTTTAAAAGTAAGTGGAAATTACAATATTTCTCATGACTTCATAAAAAAAAAAAAAACACCAACTGACCCCCTACCAACCCCAACGGTCCCCCAGGCTATGGAATTCCCTCCCCCAAGATCTCTGTGATTCTGAGTCCCTCACGCTCTTCTAGTCCTGCCTTCAAACTAATCTCTTCTCCTCTGTCTACTAATAGACCCATTAATCCATGCCTTTTGATTGTCTCTGTTTGTCCTTGTTGGTTTGACCTCAACCCTCCCTTATATTTGCTATTTGAGTGCCAGAAAAGCGCTATAAAAATGTAATTTATTATGATTATTATTATTATACGGCAGACACCGTTTTAAGTAAATAATGGGCAAGTTTTACCTTTTCAAATTGGATTATAAGATCAGAAGTTTAGTGACTCATCTTGTTTCATTCTGAGTCTACTTTGTCACACACCAGACATTGAGTTTATTTCCCGCCCCGTGCAGACAGCTACCTTGAAGGTCGCTGATGATGACTTTGTTGTCGTAGGAGCCGGTGAGGAGATGGTGGGCTCCGGGGGAGAAGCGCACTGAGCGGATGTCGCTGCTGTGCGGCCGATACGTCTGGACCATGCGGCCTCCTCTGATGTCGTACAGCATGCAGGTGCTGTCCTCCTGACCTGTGGCCAGCAGGCGCCCGCTGGGGTCCACCGCCACCGTGGCAACGGCACTTCCTGTGAGAGACAGAGAAAAAATGGACTGCTTACTTTTTGTTTTTCCTTAAAAATATTTAAACTCTAAAACTCTGAACTGGGGATTTGTTTATCTCATTGAGCCTCTACTGCTAATAATTGTTTTTTTTAATGGGACAACTAACTTGGTCTAATCTAAAGTGTCTATTTTAAAAGGATTTCAGAATTTGCACTTTATTTATTTATGTACTTCATTACCAAGGTTATTTACTTATAACCAATTTTGCCTTGGGGTTTGGTGCGTACAATAAACATATCATGTCATATTCCTTACACACTTAATGTATTTATAATATCCTGCTTTATATTTTGTTACTGTACATTTGTATTTCAACTTGTATATTTTCTATTTTTTTTAATGCTATTTGATTTCTAGTTGAGATGTTTACATTTTGGATTGTTTATTTCTACTTTTTTAATTTCTCTAATGTACAAATGGCTTGTCTTGTTATGCTGCTGCAACGCAAACATTTCCCAAATTGGGATCAATAAAGTACTTCTTATTTCTTATCTTATCAAGAGGAAATCTAAAATACAGGCAAAGTACAGCAATATTTAAAAAGATACTATAAAATACTATGAGAAATCGGTAAAATATAAGCTGTGCAGTTTAATAAGGACATGTGTGAAGCTGTGCTGTGTTCCAGAAATCTTCACGAAGCATTAGTGCCCTCCTGTGGGTGAACTGTGGTACCACACCAACCTGCAGCAGTGAGGTGAAAGTAGTTTGGACCCACCTGAGCCGTGCAGAGTTGTTCCCACCACCCGCACACAGCTGGGCACCCGCAGGTCCCAGAAGCGCACCGTCTTGTCCTGAGAGCCAGAGGCGATCATCCACCCGCCCCACGTGTACAGAGTCAGAATGTGACCTGGTCAAACAAAAAGGGGAGGTGTTAAATAATTAACATTTTCAAGGATTCAAGGCTTTTATTGTCATTTGTACATAGCTACAGTGTAGTTATGACAATGAAAATCTTAGGTAACAGGCTCCTCCAACAGTGCAACACAATAAAACAGATAACAGTGCAAGTAAATAAAATAGAATATAATAGAAATAGTGCAGAATTCTCTATATACTTGTATATAATATACAATATAAGTAATTGGAATATTGATATATATATATAAGTTGCAAACAGTTGAATGTTATGGTGTTTAACAGTCTTGGATGTTATACCGTTACCTTGTTTTACCAAGTCTTTTGTGTTTACAAGATAAACAACATAGTGTTCATTTGTTTATTATGATGAAAAATGCAGATACTGTTTATGCATATGATCAACCATGTCTACAAACTGATTTCTTAAATGTCCTGGAGGAGCTGTTGCTAAGGTACCAGTGTGTCCGCTGAGGGCGTGCAGGCCCTGTCCCCTCTGACAGTCGGTGGTGTAGATGTTGCAATCTCCGGCCCCGGCACTGATCAAGATGGATCCTCCGCTCTCGGGCCCCTCCATGAAGGCCAGGTCCCTGATGGTGCCGTCATGCATGCTGAACTCCAGGTCCGGGCCTTAATCAGAGGAGAGCCAAGGGTGAAAACAGTACCATCATCTCAATATCCTTAGAGAGAGAAATAACTTGCCTAAGGTATTCTTCCTGAAATTGTATTTTACATTCTCATAGGTATATCATCCATCATTAAAACATAGGTCTTTAGGTTAAAGTGAAGTTGCTGTGAAAATAGACACAACTCATTAGCTACACCCCAGAAATGACCTGTTACCTGTTGCATTGCAGCTGTCTGCATTGAAAGGCAGAACTTTGACAAATTTATCATTGGACCCAGTGGCCAGCAGCTGTCCGCAGTGGCTCCAGGCGACACAGTAGATGGAACCCTTGTGGTGTTTGTTCCTCCTGAAGCGCACCGCCGGCTGCTTGACTGCACCAGAAGCACTACTGGAGCCAAGAAGACCAGACAGATACACTAAGGAAGGTGCAACTTTTTATAAACACTCTTTAGTAATATCATTGATCATGTAAATAATCTATCATGTACTGAAATGTAATAGTTTGATCTGTAGGTTCCAGTGGAGGCTGCTACCTGGGGGAGAGTGTTTCTGGGTAGGCACAGACTCTGAGGGTTTTAGAGTTGGAGCCGACAGCATAGAGCGCTCCGGAGGGATGGAAGGCCACGGCGCGCACCGCCTGGGTGTCCTCCAGCTGGTTCACCCTCACAAACTGCGCTTTGGACTTCCCCTGCTGCACAGGATCACAACAGATGATCTTTTAAACTATGATCTACATAAAAATCAGCATAATTTTTTTTAACGCAAATTCTCTCCGGGTTAACCTTTAGGATACAGCTCCAATAAATGTGTAGATATTTTTTATAGCATTAACTTTACAGTTTGGAACAATGTACCTACCTATACTACAATAACTATGATAATAATATACAAGTAATCCTTGAGCAGTTCACCTCTTGTGAGTTACGTGTTGCAGAGCAGCCAGAATCATCTTGCACTGCCCCTCTAATCTTCTCAGCACTGAAATGAAAATGCACACACACATGCAGTCAAAGAGGTAGATTTATTCAACACTAGTACCAATTCATTTGAAGAGATTTTGACAGGAAAAAAAATGACGCTAGTTCTTGGGAGTTGTAGGCTCTTACCTCTGACTGGTAGGGACGGGGGACTCTCCGAGGGAGGGCAAGCCGTGGCCCCCGGTTCTTAGAGGGGTGCTGCTGACATTCCCACCTGGCTTGTTTGTTGGCGGCCCAGTGTCTGGGGTGTGCTGGGCAGCGGTGCTTTGGGGGCTGGAAGTGTTTTCTGTCAGTCCG